AATATATTCTCCAAGATTAAAATCAAAGTAGTATGTATAAATAAACAAGATTTTATACCATATGTCAAAATAAAAATAAATAGGTACTTAAAACAAATCGAAAATACAACAAATTGGGTCAAAAATAATTTTGTTTTTGTCTTTTTCGAGTGCTTAAATATGTTTTATAGATAAAAAAAATATTTTTTTGAAAAGTCCCTTGTAACTGACTAAAAAATTAGGTAGGTACTAAATTAGTTGGAAATTAACAATACTTTAGTTTATTTCGATCTATTGACTCCAAATTTAATCAAAAATGGCGTTACTTTACCTCTTTCAAGCCTTTCAGCACGTTTTGAACTAATTTTCCAGCTTTTTGGTGAGATTACACTAAAGCGGACCGCAAAATCGCCAAATCTAGTTTAAATGACAATATTTTTGCCTTTTTCATCCAAAAACGGAATACTTTCGCAAAATTTAGTTAAACTATAATAATTATTCCTTGTGAAAACATCTTACCAAAACCAAAAACTATTAAACGAAAAAAATCTGTGTTAATTTTCATAATTAAACAATTTTAGTTTCACTGTGAATTTCATGAATGTAAAGTAGAAAAAATAAAATTATAAAAACAATTACTTGGAAGTATCCACGTGGAAAAACCAGGCCAAAACGATCCTCAAAACATCGGCTTCGGAACAATCAACCGGAAAATCAAGTGCCAGAAGATTTTCCAACTGTTGCGGCGTCAGTCTATAAAACTCTTTAGAATTTGAAAACTCCAACAAGTGCTCACTCATAAATCTATAAACCATCAATCTTAATTTTTCTAATGAGTAAATCTCGGCTATTGTGGCTATATCAATGCAATTGTCGATATCAATCTGCGAGAGTAGATACTTGGAGCAGGCTTGTATAACCGGTTCCATTTGAATATGCGACGCTGCTTCCAAAACATCCTGTATATTTCCTAAATTAAGCATAATCCTTGACGTATAAGCGTATTCGAGTATTTGATGAAACCCGACAGCAGTGATTCCATTGAGACAAATCTCATCTTGTCTCGACTCTAACATGTTATTTGTAAACATGGCACGGAAATAATCACTACATGCCGATAAAACAGCTTTGTGAGCCTTAAAAACCTGCCCTTCAATGATAAGTGTGACATCCAAAAGCTCGCCCTTTTCCCATAACGAGTTCAACCCTTTGAGCAACGTGGTTTGGTGCGATTTATGATGGTAAAAAGTCGAGTTTAGGGGCTTGTTGTCGTGGAGGATTTTTTCTTTCGTTCGTGTCATTATGGCAAGGTACCTGGAAAAAGAATTAAGCAATTAGTGACTTTTTTCGACTTACAAGGATTTCCTTTCACTGACTTACACGCTACATTGATTTAATATCGACCTGAATAAACACAGCTAAATGGAACGATTACACACAATTAAATTATGAGTAACATCTGATTACGAAACTGTGATGTGAGAAAAATTCTTCAGAAAAAGGACACTTGACAAGCTTCATTTGCTCAACGATGTGAAAAGTGGACTCTATTGTTGCAAGCTTCACTAAAATTGGTATTTCATGCTGGAACCGTTCGTGTAATGCCGTTAGATGGATAATTATTACAAAGGCAATACCGTGCTGAATTCTTATTACTTTTACGATGTAATGAGGTACCGGTAGCTGACAACTATGGTGCCAAATCCGGTATAAAAACATCATAAGTGGAATAAAAAAAAATCGCAAATTATTTTAAACATATGTACTGGAAAATTTTTAATTTTTTATTTGGCAACCCAGTATGAAACCCTTTTTTTTTACAAAAGATGATCTAAACAAGTATCTACATATTATTAATTTTTTAATTCCTACAATAAGTTGCTCCATTTTGCAAAAAATACACAATTCAAAAAGAAAAGAAAATTTCGTTCTCGAAACAAAATCACATTTTTTATAGCACTTTAATTTTTATTAACTATTATTTTCTAAACACAAATGATTTAAAAACGCTTAGTTCCATGCAATGATCTAAACAAGTATCTACAGGTGCGCCAAAACTCGCGCCCCAGAGGAAAATGCCATATAAAGTAGGATACCAGGAAAATGGAAAAAATGTTTAAAAAATTTTATCTATAAAAATTTCGAAGTTATGAGGGTTTAAAGTTTGCACTTTGACTATATTTCTGTTGGAAAAATAATTTTCCAATTTTTTTGCTATAGGCTATTAAAAGAGGAAACAAGGAAGCTGTATCCTAAATTGTAACTCTGTTCAATGTTATTTGTGGATTTTATTGGCAAGATTTTTGTCCCTTTACTAAATAATTGTAAAAAAAAACGTGTACAAGATCATTAGTATCATTAAATAGATATAAAAAAACATTAAATGAAGAATAGAATTTTTTAAACATGTTTTTCATGTTCCTGGTATCTTACTTTACTTGAAAATTTTCTCTGGGACGCGAGTTCTGGCGCACCTGTATATATTATTCAATTTTTATAGAAAAAAAATTCATACAATAAGTGGCTCCATTTTAAAAAAATAATATACAATTCAAACACAAAATAAAATTTCGTTCTCGAAACGAAATCACATTTTTTTATAGTACTTTAATTTTTATTAATTATTATTTTATGAACATAAATGATTTAAAAAACGCTTAGTTCCATACTTTATATTCACCCGGTAGGTGTGTATCTAAACATTTTGAGGCATGTATGTAAACATTACACACACATTACTCATGCATTTTTCCGTGTAAAATTTAATAATGTAGTCAATAAATATTAAATAGAAATCATAGGTCGCCTTAAACATTTGAGACAATCTTATTTCTTTGTAATTTAAAACACAGTGTGTCCCCGGATAGATAAAACGACTCTTGTAAAAGATAA